CATTTTACGCATGTTCTCGTCCTTGTTTTAAACCTATGAAAATCCATACTAATATGCGAAAGTGTGCCTGTCTCTCTATCTGTATGTTACCTGTTAAACTAGGGATGGAATAAAATCACAAACAGCGCTAGACTAAGGGTCTAAGGGTAAGGGTACGACCCTTTTTTTTATTTGACCTTTCGCGAATCTTTGATAACAACAATTTTGATTGATTTTAATAGCACTTATCTTTGCCTATAACAAATCACAATAACAGGTGAAATCGCTGTGACTAAAACCAATAATTTCATCACATAAATATAATTTAAAAGTAGCAATAATTGTCATGTCTACTGGAAATCCAGCTGAATAGCAAGTACAATACAAAACTTGATAGTTTATTGGCTCTAAGCGAAGAAAGTCTTGATTTCATTCTGTATAACGTTCAGCTGCAAGAAAAAATCTTCAAGTCAAGGATGACGAGTGACTAATGCGTATTATTGAGAACATGTCTATTCCTGAGTAGAATCGAAATAGATTGCTATGGCGCCGCAGACATGTTTGTTGCTTTTAGAATTATCACTGATTAACACTCAAAGTTAAACCTATGTGTGAAATATAGTGCTCATGAATCTGTGTGTAGCTTCTCAATTTAATATTAGAAACCATAATGTAAGTTTTAACTTACATTATGGTTTCTATAAGAGTAGGAATAACTGTTTAAGACAACTTGAAATCAATCCTTGATTTAGTTGTGTTTGACCAAAATCGAGCCTTGAGCAAGACAGCTGTATTTGTTACACACAGTACCACCAACATAATAAAAGATTGTCAAATTAGCATAAGAATTATGCAATCTTAGGCCAAATTTTACGGAGTAAAACTAGAAGAAAGAAACTAAACTATTTAAAAATTCTTGTCGCAACTAGTCGCTATATTTGTCGATGTGAAATATGGATGTTTGAAAAATATATATTTACAAAACTAGTATGGAAGTAAGCTTGTTGTTTTCTAAAAGCCATAACACAATATAATAGAATTTGATAGAACCTCAATGGAATGTTAATATTATATTCTCCGCCTAGATATCTTTTACACACATTCTGACCGACTTCTTGTTTAGTAAGTAGACGGCAGTATAATAAGTAAATCTTAACATTTTTCTACCGAACAGCTTATGAATAAAACAAATTATGATAGATAACGGTACTACTAAGGTCTTAAGATCAAAATCGTGCATATTCAATGAGAAAAGTATAACAATCAGTTACCGGTAATACCAGTCTATATAAAACAAAACATAAATTATTTTAAACTGACCTGCTAAAATGAGAACTAGTTTTCTAAAATATTCTAGAAATTAGATCTGAGTCTGCAATTTGTGTTACACATACAAGTAGAAATACATTCCGCAGTTCACCTAAAACTACGTATACGTAATTAGCAGTGACAACGATTTGCAATGTTATCTATAATTTGTAGGTACTTGAAAAGGTAGGTAGGTAGTAGGAAGTAGGTAGGAAGGTGGGTAGGTAGGTAATAGGTTGGTAGGTAGTACTTGTAAGCTATTGTACTCAGGCTCAAAAGCAGTAAATATTGCTTGCCGAAATATGAAAGTATGCGTTGTTCGCATATGGTAGAAACGGACCAATGTAATTAGACAAATTTATGCATACAAATTTACTGCATGCGAGAATCGAAACCGCGATATCCGAAATGCATTATCTAAGTTTTTAAATGTGGATTATATAAACGAAAAACATTATTAAGAGCGAGAGAGAGAGAGGGAGGGAAGGGGGGGGGGGTTGTTAGTTAGTAAACTTGATTTCATTTTCTTACCAAAATTTAACAAAATAAATATACATATTAGTCAGTCTTAAAAGACATTATGTACATACATACATACAAGGGTACGAAATTTACATATATATTTAAGAGTCTTCGCAATGGAGCCGTTCATCAACCTTTAATAGTCCACTGCTGGAAAATAAGCCTCTCCTTAGACATTTCACATTATTAAAGCAGGTGTATTTATCGTTGTGTCAATCAATACCTACTTATTGCATTACTTCATGGGGTGGTGCGGTAAAGTCAATATACTGCATTTAGAGCACGCTCAAAGAGCCATTCTTAAGGAGGCGACATCCCGCCCATTCATATTTCCCACACACAAGCTTTACATGCCATGTAATTAACTAACAGTTCGACAGTTATTTATATTGCACAGCATTCTAAAACAGCATACTGAACTTCCCTGTAACCCCATACCATCAAATAAGAGACGGAAAGATATAGTTTGTAGCAGCATTTGTTCAGATTTTATATATTTTTAGGACCTTTGTGTACAATAAAATTAATAGAATACTAAAGACATACAGCCTCAAAAATAAAAAATGTGTGATCATCCTATCAGAATAAGTAAATTTAACTATGCAGACACACAAAATGTATTGGAAATTGTTGAATGAGTCTTAAATAGCATTCTGTTTAACATTATTTTCTATTATTTGCTTTCGTACGTGTACACTTTGTAGTATTTTTATATTTTCTATTGATCTGTTATGTTTATCTTACATTTCTACCTAATTAATAATTAGTTTAAAAATTCTATGTCCAGGGATCGCCTGAAGCACAGGTTTACCCTAGTTCAGGCTGTCAGCGACTAAAGTTTGGAACCAAATCTTAATACCTTTATGTGTAAAAAATCATACGATGCGAATCATACAATCATAATAATAAAATAAAGCTACTATAATTTTACGCTAGTGTAACTTAATCTAATTATTGTCTAAGATCTATTTTAAACCGAAATGTCCTACCCTGTAATATATATATATTGGTCAAAAATAGTATAAAGCGTAAATAGAATCATTTTTGAAAAAGTTCAAAAGTGAGTGTTGCTAAATAAATATGAATACTTACGTAATATATTATATAAACACCTTTGAACGAACTTTCTCTGAGATTATCAAAATATTTTAATAGAAACTTTATAAATACATGATTGTTTTAAGTTTGAATGTAGTTCACATGGTCCATATGAACAAATATTTAATCTAGGATGAATAAGTTTTTTTTATAATGGTAAGCATGTCAAGAGGCAAGTGCGTTGCCGTTTTAGACTGCTCCTACACCCCTCCACCCTCCAAATTAGGAGAAAGGGGAGGGAGACGAGGTTACTTAACATCGTTTTTTGCGAGGTATCACGACCCATATCTGCCGAAGCATAGCTCTCCCAGTAATTGAAAGAAGATTCTATTGAGTTTTTTCCCGTGTTGTTATAATGTGCCAGCATTATGCGTAAAATATATTATTAGACATACCAACCTTTATAGAAAAAAAAGAAATTAAAATCCATTATAAATATTCCTTTCATAAATTTTACCTTAATATGTATAATGAATGACTAACGATTCATTATTTAGAACAAAAAAAATAGATTAATTTAATCCTCTCAACACGGTGACCTTTCCGCTTCAATTGACTAACCCACTTAAAATATATAGAGTAGCGACTTATAGTCTTGAGAGGATAAAGTTTTAATTTAATAAGTAGTTAGAGCAGCCGACAAAGGAACACGGTGCGGCATCTATCGCTCATAAACATAACTTTTATTTGTAGTTTCTACCTTCAGTGACTAGATGGCGTTACTTGTATGACAGCTATTATAATAGTTCGCTGAACTTTATTTACATCATTATCTTATCATAGATAAACAATTTCTGCAACAAAAACATTTGATTGGGGTGAGTGACCCTCCTGTGTATTAAAAATGACCGGTTGTTATAATATTATATTTATAATATATATAATTACATAATGTCTAGAAAATTCGATGTAACTTTTTTTGTGGGACCGAGTACATTTAGTTTATTTAGTCAAATGTCCGGATGCATAATTTTATATCTGGATGCAGGTCTACACGACATGATACCCGTGTTCATGATAATCACAGCAAGTAAGATGTTTATATGAACGGGGCTTTATTCTTTTATGAAAAATGGACCTCAGCATAATTAATCTCAAAATGTCGCGATTCAAAATATATATAATTATTACAAATTAACACGATCACGTAATAGGCATTACATACCTTTGAATTGCCAGACATTTCGTTCAGGTTGTACTTGCCATGGTCACCCTATAAGCCACGCTTAGCCTGTTCCTATTGCATTCGGTTCCCGTGCGTATAATTAGTCCTCAATTGGTCATACACTATGTACTAAATTTAACCATATTAGTAATGCATTACGATTCAACGTGAGCCTTCGCACGTAAAATGCCTCCATTTGTTATGAAGGTTTTTCGAGCTAAGATTGAGTATCTTGTTTTATGTACAGTCGTAGATTAAGGTTAACTACCGATTAAGATTAAGGTTTATACTTGGGCTGTATGTACATATGAGTATTATAAATACATAAGTGGTATTGGCTCTGCTCCCTAAGAAAACAATTATACTACGTTTGTAATGCAGAATGAAAAATGTGTTTTTTCTTTTCTCGACAGTTGTTAACTCTTTAACCCGTTAGAGAGTTAACCGAGAACTATCTGTTACTAAAAAGATTGAGTTATTAAATAAGTAATGTAATTTTGGAAAATCAAAATACTATTTGTCTCTAACGTTGCGGGTATCCCGAAATTTATAACATGTTGATGTCATACGACAACATGACGATGTTTTCTTGTGTTTATTTGTTTTGTATCGGCTTCGGTAATGACAAATGTCACTTTTCGAGTAAAAATAAAGTATTGTTAAATACAGTATTGTTATATACAGTTCCGGTACAAAAAACAACTACATTGTTATGTTTTTTGAGATAAACAAATACGGTAAAACTTGGCCTACCGGAGAAGAACTCAACTTAAAAATGAATTTTTTCACGTTGCATGCAAATTTCACTTGCCCTAGTGTACTTAGTAATTAAATTCTCTTATTTACTCTTAGGGTCGTCATTAAGCAATATGTACCCGGGTTGAAAACTATATGACAGAGTCAAAGACATTTTCTTCTCCTCTCTTGTTCAATGTAAAGATTGCACAAAACACTTACCTTGCAAATTGTCGAGCATATACGTCAACAGCTTCGCAGTTCCATTGTTGTCGTTGTATATTGAGAGCATTTCTTTAGATAAAGGGTTACCCTGAAGCCCGAGCAGCTGTAAGTGAAACAGTTTGCCCAGCTCGTACGGCAGGACTCGAAGATAATTGTTGTGTAGATGAAGTTCTCTGAAAGAGGAATTATCCTTTAGTCTTATTATTTAGTTCAATCATTGCTCTTGCAAGTATACATTTGTGATGATAAAAGAGCAGGACAATGCGTATTTTGTCTAAGTTACTTTATAATAATCTTTGACATACCCTATATAATTTATTTCTTTAAAAACATCAACTGCACCAGGAATATATCCTGTATCGAGGGGGACTTTACAAACATACATTAAGCGGACACAAAGAACACCCAGACTCAGAACAAGAATTTGTGAATCACACAGTGTTGTCGAATGTGAGGATCGGACCCACAACACTCAGCAGGCTTTCAGGGCCTCAATTCTGCTATTTTATGTTCACGCCAAGCCACTGTCATACCACTGACACGCTATTGAGATGCCATTGGCATCGGTATAAATATCGGTAGTCTACACTAACTCAGTGTCTTTACAGTTGCGATGGAATGGCAGTGGCTCATCAGTGGTGATATCCAAAATATTGCCATATTTGGAAAAATAAATAAATCATATACTTGTAGTTTGAAAATATATTACGTTTTACGTGAACATAAAATAGCAGAATTGAGGCCCAGGCTATTGGCATTGTAACAAAACAACAATTACATTAAAACTGTTTAAAACATGACAATACTTCATTTTCAAAAACTTTATTATTTAACTTCATTTCTATTAAAAATAAAATGGGATAATTTTATATATATATTATATCTATAATTTTATTATATATATTTGATAAATTATTTTTGAAACTAGATTTGTAAGCGATACAGCTCTCACATTTAATCTACCTGGCTTCAGGTACATATAATGTTTTAAGACAACTATTCTAACGTTAAATATGGTGTACAAAGATCACCATTATTTTAGACCTTAGCACAGATTAAAACAGTATCAACCAATACATTAACCAATACATTTTTAATTTTAAGGAAGTAAAGTTATCTATAAAAATACGAATAACTATTGTAAACTAAAAAAAAAAAATCCTGCTGCACTTAAATTCTAAACTTCTGACACACAATTTAACCTTTGGGGTTCAATAAACATACTGCACTCTGTCTATTCGGTTATAAAATAACCAAATTATGATAATGAAAATATTTTCCTATCCAATTAAATAATCGATTTTATTACCTATTTAGAAGATCTAATGTTAGAAATATGATAAAATAAGAATAACCTCACACGTCTCACGGACGACTGATCCCAAACTAGGCAGAACCTGTGTTATGGTAACCAGACTGCTGATTAACATACTTATATATTTCTGAATACATACTTATTTTAAATCAATTACAACTAGACACAACAAATTATGGTGTTCATCACACAATATTTGTTCTGGGTGAAAATCGAAGCCACGACATCTGGCTTAGCTCTCAGGATACTAACCACTAGACCCGTCCAATGATACTGTGTACGCATAGTGTTATTTGTGTCTACGAGTAACCGGGAGAGGTTTAGGACTCTCCCGGCCCGCCAGGCCCGAGAACGGGCCAGATACCGCAGGCGACTCAGGCGCCGGAGGTCGCAGAACGACCTCCGTCCTCCATAAGCGCAGGCCTGGGGGTGTCAGGTGAGGTCATCTGTCACCCTAGCAGAAGCAGGCAGGGGTGGCGGCGAGCGCGTTGCGAAGCGCGCTCGCTTCCAGGGAACATGGGGTTCCCATACGGGGGGGGGGGTCGTCTACTCGTCTGTAGATGACCCGAGGTATGTCGGGGCACCAGGGACTTTCTTTCTAGGGTATACCTGGTTCCCCGGCTATTAGTACCCGAGACGGCGTGCGGTTTTAGTCGGTTCGAGTCCGACATGCCACCGACAGGTGGTATCCGAGGGGATTTCCGCACGGAAAAAAAAAAAGGTGTGTCTACGTGTATTTATAAATATTTCATCCAATTCAATCTTTTGTTAACAACGCGTCGTTTAAAATTTTATTTTATAAACTCCGTCAAAGTGACGTTCTCAAAACATTAAAACAATTATTGAATTGCAAATTTCGAAGATCAACTATTACACATAATAGAGCAATGCCATAGAAAGTGGTACCTACGGCGGTTGGGTAGAAAGTAAATACACCGCTATAGTTGGTTATTAATCAATCGTGTCAGATTAGAGGTAGCTGACCCCAAACTTAGTAAACAAAGCTTATTTTTGAATTTTAAAAACTTCTTATGGGAAGTTTGACTATTAATTTAATATTTTATGACTGTAGTATTGAACGTTTTATGAGGAACGGCCAGGACATGGAGTTAAACTGGATAAGCATTATACAGAGTTTCTAATCTGGAGTGAACTGTCAGTTTTTTTCTGTGTGTGAGTGTGTGTGTGTGTGTGAGTGTGTGCTGCAGTCACTGTAAGTAATAGGCGTTTACCATCTTCGTCTTTGTCCTCACTTTCCATCAAGTAAGTTGTAAGACAAACCCGTATTACCGAATAAGATAAATTCGAGTTACGATACCAGTCATATTATCATTTACCATTACGTGGAGCATGTGACTATTTGTTGGATTCGATCGTCAAAGAAATCTACTAGAAACTATTAAACAACTTATAGCAGTGTTTTATTACTAGTCCTAAGAAAGCATCATTATGGCCGTGTAACACAGTAGTGTCGGTGTAGACCAAAGCACAGAGGCGATCTTAAATACAATCGTTCCCCAGTGACCTAATGCAACATGGTACTTGAGTATTTGAACTCACAAATACTAATACAAGAAGTTTACCACTTAATCAAGCTGATGGAGTTGGGGAAGAGTTCTTATGCGATTCCTTTCTCCTCGATTAAAGGCATTCATAGACTTCTGTGATAGAACTTCGACGAGATGTTAGTCACACATAGAAGTAGCATAAAAAAGAAACTAGAATATAAGACGGAAAATATATGGTTACGATGTTTTTATCGTTACATTTGGATACGAATACCATGCCGAGGTCTAAGTATGGTAATAAAAACCTAATAAAATAGTAAAGCTAACAAAATAAGACGGTCTCTGTTTACAAATATGTCTCGATTCGCATACACGACGGTTCAGGGACCTTGATACTTTACCTACTACTTACATATACAACATAAATTCTATATGTAAATAAAACTTGTTTGTATACACACGTTTTTATCTGAAAACACCAGACAATTGAGAGTCTGACTGCCACGAGGGTTCCGGACAAACTCGTAAGTAGATTTCGCGTCTCTTTCGGGAATCAATTCTAGTAGATTTAGATCATTTTTTCTAGTGATAAACTATGACGTTCTAAATATATTATCCCATAGATCAGTATACGTATCACTCAATTTCCGAGCGCAAAATCACTTTAAATATAATTGATTTTATTTATATTATTGGATTCTCGATTATGAATCTAAGCATTCATCATAATGGCAAATACATTTATTTATACATATATATTGGTTTTCCTTTACCTGCGAAGTGTTGAAATAGAGTTGTTTTTTATTGCATTGATCTTCCTGGTAGATTTTTTACTGCTAAGAGGAGCCAAAAAGGTAATTCACATTGATTTCAACTCGGTATCTCTACACATCCGTAAGAAAAATGGTCTTGACAACGAAGTGAAAATTAACGGAACCCTAAAATTACAACAGTATATGTAAAAAATTTACAAGTAGATGTACTTTTCGCCACCTACATGTTTAAGAAGACATTTTCAACTTTAATAAGTAACTTTCTCGTGCTTCTTTATCACAACCAAAATTAATTTTATCATACATCTATTCGCAATAAATTGACTAATTTTACGACAGGACCTAATTGGTCCTGTCGTAAAATTAGTCACCGTCTTAATTAATAATAAATCTAGAAGGTATCTACAGTTCTAATGAGATATCTTAACCGTTAAGTATAGATATAAAATTTGCCCACATGTCATAAAATAATTCGACTAACGTTACATTTATTAAGCAATTTATAAAACGCATATATATGACCATGATATGGTTGCAAATATTATACTTACATTATATGAACTTGTTAAAATTTTCGTCGCCTCAGCTAATAAGCTGCTACTTTCGTAGCACTTTAAAAGAGTTTGAGAAATATAAAACCTTTAAAAAGCGTATTACAAATTTATATTTACAAGTATGTTGACATTTTCAAATACAGAACGTCACGTTATACTGGCAAATGAAATAGTTTTAAAACTTAATGAATGAATTTCGAAACTCAACCAGCGGAGGATCTCTATATTTTACAATACTATACATATAATGCTTTTAATACCCAACACATTTCGTATCGATAGATATCACATTATTTCACCAAATCAATAATTTTCTTGTATAAACTATAAATATACTTAAATAGAAAATGCATTGTTAGACATTTGTAAACATACTATTGTACTAATTAACATTTTATGCCTGTCTACTAATTACTTTAACTGAACGGTGCTTTCTCTTTCTCGTGATGCTGTCTTTACAAAGCTGAGAATCAATTAATCTATTGTATAAATATAGTCAACGTTCGTTAAAGTAGAGAGCCTTTAATGTAAGACAAATAAATGCGGACAGTTGCATAATGTTGTCTGGGATGGCCATGACACGGAGGAAAATTTACATTGTTGTAAACGCAATAAAGTTTATTTTGTCATTCTACCGTTGACTTTTTAAACTTCTTGCTGTAAAGTCTGAGTAAGGTGCGCTATTCCAACGACGATGCAAAATATTACGAATTGAGAAAAGATTCACTGACTTACTTTTTAGAAAAGTATTTTTTTATGGTAGAGGGTGCAATCGAGCAGACGGGAACGGAACTTTTCTGTTCATTTTCTCATGTAATTCCCAAAGTGTCCGGCAATTGCTTTGCCCCCTATTACATAGGTAAACTAAATTTAGAGTCGGCAAAAAGTGGGCAAAAATTAAAATCGGATGTGGGCGTGATGAAAAACAGAAACAAAATATAATGGTACATCTAAATGGTATTAAAACCAATCAACATTGCAAATGAATTAGCATAAGAGGTCGTCAGTTTGCAAGTGTAATGA